CGCGGCGCTGTCGGCCACCAGTGGGGCTCACTTCGGGAGGGGCCACGATCCCATTTGGTTGGATGAGGTCAACTGCACCGGCACCGAGGACACCCTCTTCGACTGCCGGGCCAGCGCATGGGGGGACAACAACTGCTTCCACGGGGAGGACGCCGGAGTGATATGTTCAGGTAACGCTCACCTCGAGGCGCAAGAGGGTCAACATCAGGTTTTTCCGAGTTTCCTACGGGTTTGTGGGAAGGCTCCTGCACTCCCACCAAGGGCGCTCACCCACAGCACCCCCTGCCAGCGCAGACCCACCTCCCCCAGCAGGGCGGATCGCCCTGCAAAGCCTTCATCCACCTCCTGCTGCCGTGAACCCAGCACCACGCTGCAGGAGGAGCCACGGGCAGCCACGGGCATGGACGGCCAAGGGCCAATGCCAAAGCCTGGGGGGCAACTAGGCTGTACCCTGCAAAGCTTTCTGCAGGAGTAACTCGCCCTCCCCAGTCCTTGCCCATCCAGCCAGGCCAGGTCCGTCTCGCGCATCGCCTGGGCTTCAAGGGCTTCTGATGGAATTTTTCATGCCTGTGGAGCTCGGCTCTTTCGTTCAGGCTGGGCAGCATGGAGCAAGAAAGTGACTTTGCAAAACAGACTCTTTGCAAAGCTGCTCCTCAAAATGCACTTTTCAGAAGATGCTGAGCATTGTGGGTGCTGGGTCTCCAGTCTGGGTGAGATGCTGAGCATTGTGGGTGCTGGGTCTCCAGTCTGGGTGAGATGCTGAGCATTGCGGGTGCTGGGTCTCCAGTCTGGGTGAGATGCTGAGCGTTGCAGGTGCTGGGTCTCCAGTTTGGGTAAGATGCTGAGCATTGTGGGTGCTGGGTCTCCAGTCTGGGTGCTCACCATGCACCGAGGATGCTCAGGCTGGAGCAGAAGCAGCTGTGGCTCTCCTGGAGACTTACCCTCGCGTGTCGTTGGCAGCTTCAGGGGTGTCCGTGGCCGCCGAGCTCCGCCTTGCCAACGGTTCGACGCGCTGCGACGGCAGGGTGGAGGTCACCCACAATGGCGCCTGGGTGGCCTTGTGCGATTTTTTGGGGTCGGGCCGAGGCTCGCGTGGTCTGCAGGCAGCTGGGCTGCGGGAGAGCCCTGTCGGCACCCATCAGGTCACGTTTTGGGCACGGGCCCGGGCAAATGTGGCCCGACAGCGTGAGCTGCATGGGCACGGAGACTTCCCTCTTGGAGTGCAAGACGAAGCCCCGGGGCAACAGCACATGTCGCCATGGGAGAGAAGCTGGTGTGGTGTGTGCAGGTAACCCCCTCGGGAGCAACGCGGCACGAGAGGTTGTGGGTCTTGGTCCATCGCTTTGATTTCCTCCTCGTGGACATTTCCATCACGGGGTGTCTGGGGGCGGCTGGAGAAATTTGGGTCATCCTCCTGGAGGGGTCAGTGCTGAGCCAGTGTGTGGGATCACAGAATCGCAGAATCACAGAATGTCAGGGATTGGAAGGGCTCTCAAAGGCTCATC